TACAAATATGTGGCAAAAGCAACTGGTAAAAAATATACATGTTAAGTACAAAAAATCATTGAGTGAAATGGTTGGACTCGCCTGGGTTATTTTTGAAAATTAGATTATTCAGTGGACGACATATATAATGCCATTCGTGAGTAGTAATGATCCAAAAGTATCCAGAATAAAATATGCAGTATGGCAATTAATTCCAGGGTGCTTGATGCTGTTGACGTTTTTGCCACTCGCTCGGATCAGAACAATCGAATGAATCCATGTGGTTGTCATTGAATGAGCGATCTAAAATAACCTTATGATTGCAGAAAATTTATAGCTTAAACTCACAGTAAATTTCTGGAGTATCGTTCACTGGCTATGGAACTCGAGAACCGGAAATTAGGAAGGCAGTGGTCGAAAGAAAAGTTATAACAGGATAGTATATAGTTTAAAAAAGAAAGAGGTGTTCAGTGAAGAAACAGTATGAAGAACTAGATCCAGATAAATATCTAGTCCTTGCGTACGTTGCTAGTCAATGTATATTCAGGTTATTTACAGGTCATATTTACTGAAGCTTGGTTTTTAAACAAGTTTATTTCGCTGAAGCATGTAAATGCTAATATGTATCTGTACCTTGATGGCCGATATGCATCACAACACACTTGGAAGTATTTATCGGCAACTGCCAGGTTTTAGACCATTCAGATAATGTCTTCAGGTCATTTTGAAGTTCTAAGCTATCACTCTTACATCGTATCGTTTTCCATATCTTGACGTCGTGGGCATACAGCATGACCGATGATGATAGGAGACGAGGAATGTCATTTACATATAAGAGGAATAACCCTGGCCCCAAGACTGTACCCTGAGGCACTCCACTAAGCACAGTTTCCCACCTAGATGACTTTAAGTTCACCCGTACTCTTTGTTGGCGCCCAACTAGGAAGTCTTTTATCCACATTAATAGATTGCCTCCAGTTCCGACATTTATTAGCTTATATAACAGCCGGTTGTGCGGAACTTTGTCAAAAGCTTTGCTGAAATTAATGAAGGCTACGTCTACAAGTAACTTTTGTTCCTTAAGAACGCACCAGCTTTCACGAGCCACTAATAAGTTAGTGAGACAAGAATAACCTATTCTGAAACCGTGCTGCTTCTCCAAAAGGATCCGGTTTTCATTGAGGTACTTAAACATCTTCCGAATAATCTTTTCTAAGGCTTTAAAAACCACGCTAATTAGGCTGACGGGTCGGTAATTCCCAGGTTTATGTTTCGTACCTGTTTTGAAGACAAGGCTTACTATGGCGTTCTTCCAGTCTTTTGATAAACGACCCTGCGTTACAGATAGATTAAAGAATATACTTAAAGGGCCCGCAACGAAGTTAAATAATTCCTTCAGTAGCCTAGGATGCAATTCATCGGTCCCCGTGGATTTACCTGTGACCAAAGACATCAAGTTCTTTGATGGTCACACAGTCCAGTGTTTGTGTGGGGGGCTTGTATGGACTGACGGGAAGGGTGTTTCTATGATATATAGATTGTCAAAGTAGTTTGAGAATACTTGAGCCTTACCAAAGTCGTCCTCCACTAATGATGAGGCAGTACTGTCTCCCCATAGTGCAGGAATATTTCCAGAGTGGCTTCGGCATCATTTTCTGTCGAAGCCTTACAACCCGAAAATTTACAATTTTTATGTCTTCTTCGTCAGCGTCCAACCTAAGTTGTAGTTCCTTTTTACGCGGTCTGCCAACGGCAAGTCCTTACGGATAAAAACTCCTGAACCCTTTAGTTTATGTCCACTCTGTGAAATTAAGTCTCGTTCATTCGAAGATTTGATAACTACTTTAAGCAGTCTGGATTGATTAGGCTTCAAGTTCGCTTGTCTATCTAGTCTGTACACCTTTAGGAAGGTGACTCCGGGGATATTCTGAGGCATAAGTTGATTAAGTAGCTGTTTTATCAGCACAATGTCATGTTCAAAACGAGTTTTTGGTTCGGAGCTCTCACTCTCCTTGATTCTATGAAAAATAACTGATCTGTCACTGTGATCAGCCTTCAATTTTTTGACTACTTTTATGGGGGCGGGATTCCCTTTTGTATCGCTATGTTGTTTCTTCCTTACAACCTGTATCCATTCGCCAACGTTGCTGGGAAAATCAACCACAGTTACGTAAAAACTACTGTGGGATTCCGGAGGGTTGTCGACGATTTGAGAGGTCAGGTTACGTCTTTCGCTAGAAACCGATCAGCCCCCAATTGTCCTGGTATGGCCGAGAGTGGGATGGGTCCGCCCCCTCTCGAAATGCTCTCATACGGTCATGCGTATAAAGCCTCCGCCAGGGAAGTCCTACTTACTGCCTTCTCGTAGCGGGGGTGTTCTTTACGAAAATGAAAGGACGAAAAGCGAATATCCGGCGCTTTAACCGGATCCCAAACCAATGATGCTTATGGGCTCCAGTATCCTACGTGAACAAATGGCGTATGAACCAATCGTTGGTCACCGGCTACCACGGGACTTCATCTCCTTACGTTGCTCCACTGCCTTATGGATTAGATCCTATTTTCGCTTCGGTTTACAGTCAAACAATTTACATTATTATTATCATTGTTATTTACTATGTCATTTATTCACTCTCTTTTATTCCCATTTTATGTAACCTTACTTTTCTACTTATACAACAGCTCGCCTTTGGTGGAAATTCGGCTCTATCTAAACGTTCTCGAGTCACTGTCCGGTTAAAAATTGTATGCTACCACCGAATACTAGTACTGAAGCAGTGTTTCTAAAACCACGTGCACCATTCAAACTGGCTGCCATCAACGTTTGCACACTTATGCAGGTCGGACAATAGATAGGGCTGGCTATGTCTTTGGAAAGTCTTAATATCGACTTTTGTTGACTATCTGAGAAAGATTGACTCGTGAGGAGCAGGCATGTTTTCATTCTGGTCGACGATCTTATCTTCATCCTTCCTCAAATGTTAGAACACCGTCATACTTAACAAAGGCCAACAGTCGTAGTATTCCTTGACATCAGGGCTGCCTTCAATTCGTTGGATAAGACTGTTATCTGAGATTGTCTATTGAAGAAGGGTGTGCCTGAGAAGTTTACAAACACCTCAGGTAGAGTGAGGGCATACAACCACCTCTCTCCATTGTTCCACTCGAGCAGTGAGGTTAGACAGGGTTGCCCAATTGTACCATTACTCTCCGATTTTGCCATCGACGACATTCTGGAAACAGCTCTGATGGCTGTAAGTAATGGCGCTGTGGATCTGTTGCCTGGAGAAAGACTTCTAGACCTTGAGTATGCGGATGATATTGTCTTACTGTGCGATAATGCCCAAGGCATGCAATCCGCAGTTAATCAGTTGGCAATTAGTGCCCGTAGGTACGGTATGCGCTTTGCACCTTCGAAGTGCAAAATACTTTTACAAGACTGGCAGGATTCTAATCCGGTACTCACCCTGAATGGTGAGCAGATAGAAGTAGTCGAGAAGTTGGTGTATCTAGGTAGCTACATAAGTGCTGGTGTTGGCATGGGTGATGAGATCAATGCACGTATAGTGAAAGCCAGAGCGGCTTATGCCAATCTGGGCCATCTTTGGCGCCTTCGTGATATTAATCTGGCTGTAAAAGGTCGGATCTACAACGCGTCGGTGAGAGCAGTTCTGTTCTATGCTTGTGTGGCGCATATATATTTGGTGCCCTCTCGTACCAATATTTATGTGTTCAAATAAAGAATAATAATAAATAAATAGAAACCGATCGAGCCTTGCGAATGCGGCTTCTAGGCGTTTCCTGCTGGATACCATTTAGAAGACGGGGGACAGAAGAAACTTCTTTTCTTGAGTTTTTGGTTAAGACAGACGTCTCTGAAGATTGTTTTTCCTTCTTTGGTTGGTGTGAGTCACTTGTTTTCGAACTCATCTGAGTTTGCTTCACACCAATTGGCGTGTCGACAGAGCGAGTACTGTACGATGTGTCCCAACTACGCTTGCCAAAACACTTTTTTGCAGCGTTTACCAATGAGATGGCCTCGGTTAGCAAGCTGTTTGCATCCGAACGGCACTGTTAAAAAAGCCATACGCAACCGTTTTTACTGAACCGATTGAAAGCCGCAGGCGTTAAATTCGTGAAAACTTCGTGGTACCAGCCTTTGTACCCATCGCACTGCATACAGCTTTCAACGGGATAACGACAGTCCGAACGTTGGCAATTGCTTTTCTTTGCACTGTCCGGTCATTAAACAGGGGTCTTTTTTTAGAAAAAGAACTAGATGCAATAATACTCAGACAAAAATGACCTATGACCAAGAAAAGTGGAAAACTGTAGACTGTTAGAACCAAAAGTACTAACAGATACAATAGAAAACAAAGTACTCAAAAGTACCGACGACAAACTAATTTAGAAAAAGAAACAATGTTCTAATTAAGTACTTTAACTGAAATAAATTCAATTAAAGTGAAAACAGCAGTCTTGATACGTAATAAACGATCACAACAATAGAATTTACTCAGCGAGGAAAAATACTACTGTCCCTTTAATTAGCGCGCGCGGAAGTTTTGTTATATTTCTTAAAATTACGATTTAAATGTATATTAAACAGTAATCTATTAAATTATATTATTGGTTTTATGAATTTGTTGCTTTAACGAAATTTTTGATATCGAATCAGGCAGTTATTGTTGTTATTCCTATTCCTACACTTTATATCAGTGTAGCAAGTCGAAGTTAACATAATGTAAAACAAAGATGTCTGTATGGTAATATCAATCGGAACATCTCTCTTTATGTATATGTTATTTGTGCAGTTTTGAAAATGAAATCGTTGAAAAGGATTTCTTTGTCAAATTATCTGGCTTATGACAAAGGAATGAAAACACTGGAGGTAAAGTCCAAAGAATGCCAGTGTAGTGAGAAAATCCAAAGTTTTTAAGTTTGAAATCTTGATATTCAGTAAGTAACTGAATGCCATTAATTTTCTATGTACGTTATTTTTTCTCATTTTTTCCTCCTAGGTTTGTATTATACTTTCATTGTGTAAAGAGTTTATGAAATTTTCACGTTCGATGATGTGTACAAAAGTGAGTACAAGTTTGTCATATTTCTTCGCCATCAAGCTATCCTTAGTTTTGATGGGATTTATTTTTTGAATGAAAATGAAATTGTGGTTAGACTTGTCTGTCTTAGCAAGAATATGCTGGATTTTTTTGATCGGGACTCAAGCAATAGTTTGAAATTTGGTTTATCAGGAAAAGTGATATCAGTTATGATTTCTGATCTCTAGAGTCAACCATACCGGAATGAAACAATCAACACCGATTTTACAGGTTTGTGATGGCTACGCATCATTTAATGGCTGAACTCAAAAATATGGAGCGTTTAGATTCTGAATTAGTAATTTAAGAGTGTCATTCTTACTGTAAAATCTTCAAGTCATAAGTTCGATTTCATAGCGTTCACAAGTACCCACAGTCGAACATTCTTAAACTAAGACGGAACAGATACCCAGTGCTCTCAAGTTTTCAATAGATTTCTAGATGATATCTGTCTTTGATGAACACAGTCTTTAAATTGGACAGATTTACACAGACTGTCTGTCTGCATAACTTTTCCTATGCTGAAATCGATGAGTAATAGTACTATTCAAAGAACGATAAATAAGAAACTTTGTTGATGTTAATTCCCAAATGCAACTTATGAGACAGAAAATTAATGTCAATTTAAGGGTAATGTAAGGTCAACTTTCAACACATTTTCGTCACATTACTTTATAAAAAACGCACTTTACCATGATTTGTATCTAGTGACAGTCAGTTAGTTGATAAATTCCGATCACTGTAACTAATATATAACCAACTAACTTAAACGTGTTTTTAATTCTACTGGAGCTATTACCGACTAATTTTCAATTGCGAAACTGATCTTTTCACTCGACTTAGCGAGCCAGAGAGTTGGAGGATAGAAGTCATCTTGTTTACTGTATTGAAGTTGAATTTTCAAAATATTAGCATAGCGCATGAACACTGTTTACACGTATACTGTTTATCAATTATTTTATATAGCCATATACAGTTGAAATGCAGGTGCCGTCGATTGAAGTTTGTAATATGTGCCTTGAATCTTATACTCATGTCGGCATTTTGTCTTGTAATGTAAGTCAATTTTTACAGCGTTAAATAATTGGGAAAGTTATGAAAAAGTATTATTTATTGTTTACATTTTTGGTAAGGAGAACTTCTACTGAAAACCAGTTGTCTGAAATGTATTTAATTTACATAATTTGTGGTACAGCTGGACACCAAAAAAAGTTTGCACCACATAAATAAAGAGATAATATTGAGAAAAAGTAAAGTAAGGAATAGAAATATAATCCAAAAATGTAACTGGACAAGAATAGTTTGTGTTAGGGGATATAGTTTAGTTTAATGTATAACCAAGGAAGATATCTTTCACCTAAGGAAGTTCCTCCCAATTTACAAAGAATATGAAAGAAAACTACGACAAGATTGTCACTGGCTTCTCTTTTGAGCTATATTCGGTAACGTCTCTGGCTAGCCACTGATTTGCACCATATTTAGGATCACAAACGAAGAGCCACAATAAACCGGGTGATGTTAGTCTTGTTCGCCTATTTTTCATATGATGGCATCATGTCATAACGAAACCACGTGTCTTCTTTATACATCCAGTCCCGTAGTCGGCAAATAGTGCACGATATGGATGCCACTAGTTCGGTTGGACCAAAATGTCATGATAATGTACGCACTTTCCATCAACCTTGTTTCGCGAAATCATAATCAAAGAAATCTTCGTATTTGCGTTATCACGTGTTGAGTGTAATGTTAGCTCCTAGATCATACGTGAACTCCACGGCACTACTTACTGTACTGTGGGCGATAGTATTTTGGTACATCGAAGATACCTGAGATTATCTTTATGAAATTGTTGATATCTCCATCAGATTTAATTGTTAAACGGCTGTTCGCACCAGCTTATCTACGTATACGTTATGCGATGTTGTCATTTCGCTTTGTGTGGTATTTTTTAACTCTCCATTGCATTGAAAATGTCCTTCTAGCTAGTTAATAGGTTAGCGCGCCAGTTTTCTGTATTTTGATTTCAACCTTTTTTTCTTGGTAAAAAGATAACCTTTTTAATCTAAATAGTTTCATTTATTTTTAAATTATGATAATTATTCATTTGTTCACATATTTTTTAAAACGAATTTTTCCATTTGCATGTATGTGTGTATAGCATAAATTTTGTGCTAAATGCACAACACGTTGGTTTAATACATTCACTAAATGCCCGTCATGTAATCCAGAATGTGGTGAAAATTCAAGATGGCGGAGTGGATCGATGGATTTATTCATTCAATTTTATTAAAATTATCCTTTTGTGTATTAGTTTACTAATTTTCCTTGTCAGCTATTCTTGTTAAATGATTAAGAATAATGTTCCAAAGACCTGTTTGTATTTTTATTCCTGTGTACTTATTTATTTGGAGTAGAAGAATAATTAATTGTAATTGGCTGTGAAAAAAGTTGTATATGTCTTGTCTATTTTATAAAATAGTTGTACATGATAACTTGTAAATTAAATTTTTTTGGGAGAAAAAAATTAACCGAACATTTTGTGTCCTGTTCATTTATTAATTGTCGACAGTACTATCTATTGTTATTTCTCGATGTTTGTTTACAAATCTCCTTTTAAAGTTGTTTTGTAACTTTTTTTATTAATAAATAATTAGACCTTAGTTTTATGGTGGTTTTGACAAACTAATAGTGGTTAAGGAATCTTTATGAAATAGGTTATTTTAGTGTGGATGTTTATGTTGTAAAGCCACGCTCTCAAGTCACGGACAGAGATGAATAATGTGGAGAAATGCTTAGTGACTTATGCTAACAATGATACATTCATATGATTACAGAATCAAATTACGTACCTAATTGGGGCACAATACACCCACAAAGAATATGATACTTATAATCTGCATACAAACCGAACAAATTAGTTTATATCTACTTCTTTTGCATGGTCGCTATGTTCCTGTTCATAATGTAAAGAATTACTTTGTCAATAGTCAGCAAGTTCTTGACTCTTACTCTGATAATGTTTGTAGGTCGTAAGGTAAAATTAATTATTCTTTAATGCAGTTACAAATAAACTCAATCTTTGTCGCATTATCAATAGATTAGTGGGAGTACCCTCCTCTTCAAACTACTAATGTAATACCGTAAAATTTGGATTTGGTTAATGTACTTTTCTTTCAGATATTTATATCTATCAAGAACAGCTGGTGGGAATGTGCTAATGCGCATCACGTTAATTGATGCATGTTCGTTTATATCACTGTATAAATATGATACATGTTCAGTGCGTTTTACAGTTTGATAAGAAATGTATATTTATTTTCTAATGACTGCTCACTAATGAATTTCAGGTTGGATGATGAAACTATATGGTTTTATACTCAGATTGAAACTTTATTATGCTCTTGGATACGTCATAAGCTATAAATTCACTGGCTTCATTATTATATTCTTGACGCAATCGATAGACCACACAAATTCCTGTTCTAAGCATCCAATAAAAACAAGGGGAAGCCAGATGGAGGATAACAAGTACCTCATTTATATCCATAAATCATATGCTTACGAAGGTAAACTGCAAGTCCGCAGATCAACTCAATTAGTAGATCTCATTAGGTACATAACCTGGATATTAGAAATACAAGACTGAGTAGAAGTTTAGGATTGGTCGACCAATTTCAAGACGGCAACGACTAATGGGTCAGAAGACAATTTCCAATTAAGATAATACGGAAATGCTATAAAAGACTGTCTAATAGATACCCATTAAAAATATACAGGTTAGTTTGTAATGGCTTGTCTTCGAAATAATTCCTTAGGCTTCGTTTACCAATCACCATGATAACCGTTATTAGTTAAATCCCAACGGTGTATAAATCCGGAAAGCGACACGAAACGCTGACTACAGTTTATTATTGGATAGCGCAAATAACAAACACACCAAGAGAATTTGAACAGACAATCTGTTACGCGCTAGCAAGCAGATTTATAGTCAAAGCGAATCGAATCAATTAATAAGATTGAAGTATATATACTAATGATGGAAAACTCCGCCTGTAGTTATTCCAGGGTTATCGCCAATCCAAAGCCCGGGTAAAGAAGGGGGTTAAAAGTAGGGGTCAGCGCCCCCATTCCGTAGAAAACAACCTTGCTAAAAAGACGCCAACCCGAATAAACAAATTAAACCATTTGAACTCTGTCCTGGAAGTCGAAGGGTACTCATTCATCAGAATTATGACCCTTCGCGGTGAAAGCCGATATTCTTCCGAAGTCACGAGGCTGATGTCCCTTCTAACAACCAGTGCAACAATTAATATAGGTACATGGAATGTCCGGAGAGACTATAAAGACCAATCAAATAGCTATGGAAATTAGGACGCTGCTAAAATTCTAGACGTTCGTTTCCACCATGTTCATTGCGATTTAGTCGTTCCCTGACCAAATTTAAATGGATACTCTTATCTCTTAACCCATGTATACCATTTCACTCTATGGTCAGAAACCATTTATATGGTAGGAATCTCATGGATCCAGGTTCATCAAAGCATCCTTCAAAACAGAGAAGGGAGTCGCAATGAATTTTACCCAATGTTATGCATTTACCAATGGTAGCAACGACAATAAACATTAGTTTTACGAGAGGCTGCAATCAATCATAGAGAAGTGCCCAGGAAACCGTATGACCGTCCTGATCTAAACTCAAAAGTCTGAATGGACAAAACCGGCTATGAAGATATCATGGAACGACACGAACTGACTGGAAGAAATGAACGAGAGTGGTGAGATCTGTGAATTTATGTGCATCCAACAAAATGGTTATAGGTAGCACAATATTCCCACACAAAGCCACATGGTGTAGTGAACAAGAACACGGGTGGGGACAAACGGATGTATTTAGCACAACAATTACAGACTATGTCAACAAAATCCAAATACCACAAATTCCATTGTGTTCTCGCTCTACCTTTCTTGATCTTCGCCATCTTCCGCTGCCAGACATTACGTTCTTTGAACGCACGTTATATACTACTTATATCAATATAAGTAGCTCACACCACACACGGGTCTCATCGGACCACATCACGGAGAACCATATTGATCATACTTGTGTCAGTTAATGGATGTGAGAACCAGGATAAGAGATAACATAAATTCAGACCATGACCTGTCTGTGACCAAGGTGAAACGGGAGCTAAAGAACCACTGAACGGCTGGGAAAACGGCATTACAAAGGTTCAATACAGCCTTCGTTCGACATACTGACACACTCAAAGAACCCAAGATAACTCTCAAAAACAGGTTCCATGCCTTACTGGATCCACTGAGAGAAAAAACTGCTATGAATAGCAACTAGAAAGGTGTCACTAACTCCAAAGTGTCACGAGATCCTGGGCCATAAGAAACATCATCATACGGAATGGATCGCTAACGATAGTCTGGACAAGACTGAAGAAAAGAAGAACAAGACAGCAACTAACAACAGCCGAACAAAAACAGAAATTCAAGGCAAAAGCTGAATACACAGAAACAAACAAGCAAGTGAAGAAGAGCATTAGAGCCGAAAATAGGAAATATGTGGAAGAGCTAGCAACGACAGTGAAAAAAATTTTCAAGAGAAGGAAATATGGGACAACGATGTGAAACAAAGAAAAAACTAGCAGGGAAATATAATAAACCGGAGACCGGTCAAGGACAAGGAAGGCAAGCCAATTAGTGAAATTCAAGGACACAAACAGAAGGACAGAACACTTTGAGGAACTCTTGAATAGGCCAGCTTCGCTGAATCCATCGGACATCGAAGCGGCACACACAGACCTTCCTGTAGATGCCACCACACCAACGGCCGAAGAAATCGGGATGACCGTCAGGATTGAGAAAGCAGTAGGACCTGACAACATACCAACTGGAGCAGTGAGGTCACACATAGAAGTAACGGCAAACATGCTTCACATTCTATTCAGGAAGATTTTTTGGGGGGGGAGCAAGTGCTGATAGACTGTAAGAAGGGCATCCCATCAAGACAAGAAAGAAAGGGGATCTCAGCAAATGTGAGGACTACAGAGGCATCACACTACTGTCAGTACCCCAAAAGGTTTTCAACAGTGTTGATGAACTGGATGAAAGACTCAGTAGCCGCCCAATTTCGAGATCAACAGACCGGATTCTGTAAGGATCGAACGCGCACAAAACAAATCGCGACACTAAGGATCATTGCTGAGCAGTCACTTGAATTGAATTGGTCACTATATATCAACTTTCTTGATTATGATAAAGCGTTTGACAGTGTGGATAGGTCAGTCAGTTACAACATAGAGCCAGGCACTTATACGCATCGGTCCAAGTTACCACACCTCATTAACACGACAAGATGAACACCGGATTCATAGTAGTTAATTCAGTGATAGGAATATATAAAAGAAAGATTGCATATAAGGACATAGTATAGGAAGAAAGAATTAGTTCGTAGAAGGAAAGATATAAGGCAATCTTAATCTGATAGTTTAAGGGAAGACAGAGAGTGTATACACCTAAGCCATTGTGATCGATTCGGAGCCATGTCAGTCTCCAACCATTGGTTACGTTAGTCACGCAGAACTGCTGCTTAGTATACTCGTCCTCTAGTTGATAGACGAATATCTCACCTTCGCCATAGGTCGCGTAAGTTGGTAAAAGCCAAGCGAGCTTTCTGAATCCGTGCTGAGATTTCGCCAGACACCAAACCATTACGGTTGATTAGAATTCCAAGATAAGTGAAGTTGTCAACGCGCCCGACTACTCTACTGCCTATCCTTAGATCAGGTGTTGACGCAGACCAGTCCTGGAGCAACAACTTACATTATGAGGGGGAGGAACGCATCCCAAACATTCTGGCATTGTTGCTCAGCGCTACCAAAAGACTGCACTCTACCATCGCCTTCACCAAAACAAGACTATATCACCTGCGTATTCCAAGTCGATAATTGAACCTCCTGGAAGGAGATCAATACCGAAAATAGAGTCGACGATAACGTTATTTTCAGCAGTATGTTCACGAAGAGATCGAACAACGGAGATAGTGAATAACACTAAATAGAGAGATTTACACAATCGAAGACCATCTTAGTCGGAAGGCATTATAGTACTAGGGCCAAAATACTCGCGATCTAGATAACTTTTTTATAGCATTTCAAACGAAAATGTTTCAGTCTCTACAATAAAAATATATCTAATCCTCAACTCATTATATTTGGTACGTTGAACGTCCGGAGATAATCAAATGAAGAAATAACTCTCACGGACAATCCTACATACGAAATTGATGAACGACTGAAATTAAGAACTCTTGCACTAGAACCCAGTATGCCTATTTGTAGTTATACGAAAATTCTGACTGAACAAAGCAGTCATTGGACTAACTAACTATATTTATCTAACGATTGTGTACAACAGGACTGACGGTCTAATCACTTGTCAATGCTTTTGAATTAAGAAACACGGCAAATTTTGTTGACATGTTATATTTACTTTAGAATAAACTACAGACTTGGATGTGTCATACTCTAACAGATATGGGTAAAGCAAGCATCGTGGAAACAAGCATTAATTTACCTGCAACCAGTCATAGGGCTTACACCATATGCTGTTAGAGACACATCACGATAACTAATTTTACAACAGGTCCCTG